CACATGGAAACTTGGGGATGTATGTCTTTAATGGATTTGCATGTATATCTGGATTTTACTTTATACTTTTATACCGTCTGTTGACAAGACAGAAGGATATTCAATCATTTGATTTACATGTAGTGTAGGCCCTTCTGGGTCTCGGCAGGTGACTTGGTTCCAATGGTCAAGAAAAACCTGGAAAAGCCAAGGAAAATGCGTTCTTCTTGAAAATCATAAAAAAAGAATAAAAAGGAAATCTCCCAAAGTTATGGAAATTTATGGAAATTGATTGTTAGTGTGGGCCGTGTGAACAATGGGTGTTTGGATACTTCGACCCATATCAAATTGTACATATCTGGTCATGGAAAGCCATGGAATTCCGTTCTCTAATTGATGTGGGAACCCTGTATGTGCATGCGATGATTTAAAATGTTATGTTGAAGAAGATATTCTCGGACGTTAGATTATTTGGGATCACATATTTCTCTAACACTTTTGTACATTTTCTTAATTATAAGGGTATTGGTTATATGAAAATATAGCTTCTAAAGTCCATGTGAGACAGCAGTGATTGTGAATATTTATAACCAAACATAAAGATATGCAACAGCAGTAAGAATGAGATGGTCAACATTGAATGTTACTGGGGATTTCTTATCCATTTACTTAGTTCAAATTTACTTGCATGGGTTAAAGTTATGCTGTACAAGCAACAGATTTGGATATCGGTCATTTTTTCACTATCAGTAGAAAATTAACGTGTTAAAGATGAAGTTGAGTTCTGGTCATGCGATTGCATTGTGAAAGAAACGTTGTGGAATCGACCAGAAGAGGTTGATGTTCTAGCATATAAGAATTTGTGTGTATTGCAAGGTTCTGGAATCATCAAAATGATAAGAAATTTGGCCAAGTCTTGGTAAAGTTACAAACACTTTACACAGAAAGATGTATATGGGACTACACAAACACGTGGCGTAAAAATCCCACCCGGATTTTTACGATGTTACACGACATATTTAGAATATGAAGGCATTTGAAGAGCCATGCTTTTCAGGGAACATGTCTTATCTGATGTTCTTCCACACTTGCAAATAAGAATGATAACGCCCGCAAATTATTTTTTACCTCTTCCTAGAACTCAACCTTCTCTTTAAGGTAAGCTATCGCTTGCCGAGCTGCTAGCTTCTTCAGACCAAAATTGTTCAAGTTACGTCATCAATCAGACAATCCTTTTTTCAGTGATCCAATGGAGAAAAAAAAATCACCAATTGTGGCTAATTATCTTCTCACACATTCATACTAAACATGTGTATTATTTTTGAGCATCTCCCCTCCCCTTGCTAAGTAGTATGAAATGTTTTGTTTAACAAGGATAAAGGTTTTTATATCCACTATGAGCAGTACTTTTGTTTGTACTTCATCTCTTGTTTTCTGTCAGGATAGGATTTATTTTAAGTGCTTAATTCATTACTCATTGATCTTCAAATTGGCAACGATACTATTTTATCTTTTATTGCTACATTATTCTGGTAACATGCAAAGTCTCTACAAACAACATCTATGTGTATGAGATTTGTCAACAATTTGTTAAAAATTGCCAATTTTGACAGAATTTAATGATTTTGAACCTGTCAACAAATTGCCAATTTAAGGTTATTATATCTTATTTACCTTATTTACCTTATAAAAAATTCCTCGCATCGAATGGGATATGACCATGCAAGCAAAATGAATGCAATGTGTGTAGATATTTTTTCCCTTCCTAAGTTTCTACTTATGCATCTGGTATATAATTAAATATCAACAGATATATATATTTGAAGGGTTCTGAATAAAAAGTTATAGACCCAAACAGCAAAATGTAGAATGATAAAAAAATAAACATAACCCAGACTAGGATGTGCTCCATCGACCAGTTTTATGTAGACTGTAGTGCAATTCATTCTTGTCTGTCGCATTATGGAAGGCTATGTTAACTTGTTACGAGCATTCTCCAATTGCCTCCAAATGTAAAACTTATCGACTTGTGACAGTATATCTTTTCAAAATGAACAAATCTTTGTTCATTATTTTGGTTTTTAAAGGTGGGAACTCGAATTCACACACGCCTTTTTGTCATTATTTTCATTTGCAAAACAGTCATGATCAAATTATCTACCCTCTTTACACGTCACCAAAGCTCACTTTACATTATTTCTGCTAAATAATTGTTTAAATTTTTTTTTAAATCTCTAGGACACATATCAAATAATGAATTTGTTCATTTGAAAAGATTTCCTGTTTTTTTATGCCAGGGTATGAGATTTTGGCTTGTGCTCAAAGTGTTTGACGCACTTTCATGTAAATATGTGTTATATGTTGCACAGGATACATTCATTAACAATTTATATGAACTGTGCCCATATACTTGTCTTTTTTTTCTAGCACGGTTTTTGTTGTTGATATGATTTTCAATAAATGTGTGTAAAACATATGGTTGGAGAAAATCAGTGCAATTATTGTTTACTTATTAAGTTAATGGCGAGCAGAAAACAGAGACTCAGAGAGAGAGAGAGAGAGGGAGGGAGAAAGAGAGAGGGAGGGAGAGAGAGAGAGAGAGAGAGGGAGGGAGGGAGAGAGAGAGAGAGAGAGAGAGAAAGGGGGGGGGGGGGGGGCAAACAGAGACACAGACAAACAGACTGGGGGAACAAAACAAGGGAAAGAAAGAGATGAGCAAGGGAGGGGAGTGACACAAGGATAGCGAGAGAGAGAGAGAGAGAGAGAGAAAAAAAATGGAACAAATGGATAGAGAGAAACGGGGAATGTATGGTAGGAGCAGAGATGAAAGAGGAGGGGGAAGAATGTGTGCGTGTGAGTGAGTGAGATAACGCGGGATCGGAGAGACGACGGAATAATGAGAGAGAGAGAGAGAGAGAGAGACAAAGACAGACGTGGGAAATACAGAGGACTTGACGTGTGATAAAAATGCATGTATATGTATAACATACTGGAGGATGATTGAGGGAAGGAATACTACACAATAGAACAAAAATGGAACAAGTTTAAAGGAATAGATGCTGATGCCTCTATACCATATCTGGAATATTCTAGCACCCCCTTGATGCTATTACATCGCCCCCGCCTCTCGTTTCTCTCGATCCTCTCTTCGATTTGTTTTTCCCAATCTGTCTTTTCGTATTTTCGCTCATGTCATGTTATTGTTTTTCACTTCTATGCCTCGTTTCTCTCAATCATCTCTTCGATTTGACTATCCAGATCAGTTAATGATTAAAAAAAAAAAACACTTCATTAAACCGACAGGCGCATTGTCAGTGTAGTGATAGCTAGTTAACAGAGTCTGCAAATACAGACTAGCTAAAAGACTATAACTAAATATAGAATGACCTGCAACCCATGACATATATGCCAGGTCAGTTATATGAAACGATGAGTACTTGTATATTACATACATACATGAGTACAAAGATGTCTGACTGACAGTGCCTCAATAAAGCTAGACAACTTATCAGTTCAATCGAAGCTCTCTAACTGGTCTTCTATAAAAACAAAAATATTCAGCATATCCAGAGCTTCTCCTTTTCCTCATCCTCCTCTTCATATCCTCTTCATCATCCTTTAAAGGGTAACTAAATTACTTTTGTTGATTTGTAATAATGTATACATCACGTATCTTTTGACTTATTGATGTACATGTATGTCATATGTTTTATTTTATTTTTTATATTACTTTGGTACTACCTTGGTACTTGGTTGGGTAATCCCTGGGCTGTGGTAGCTCACTCAGGAAGCCATACTGGGAGGGTACTCAGATTTGGTTTTGACGGCGGGTGTGCCGCTGAAGCCTCCATACCCCTACAAAAAACATCCAAAAGCAAATGACTTCTGTGACAATATCATGCCAGTTATTCATCAGTCAGTTAGATGAACGAAAGACATTTATATGTCCTTTCCCATCAACTGACCACCTTGACAACTGAGCGTTGTATGTTTTTTTTATACAATCAGGGGTGGATCCGGGGGCCCAGGCCCCCACCCCTGCCCCCCAATAGGTTGTTTTTAATTGAGATTGTAAGTGCTCATTACCCCCCCCCCCCCCCCCCCCCCCCCCGCGTATTCACCGGCTGATTCAGCGCTAAATATTTCCCCACGAATTGGGCCCCGGCCCGCCCTCGCCGCCGGCTGGATCCGCTAACCTTCATTAATTTAGTCATGATTATGCTGTATAATTATGTCAGTCCTTTACTTATTAATCAATTTGTCTGAGAAAGAATTTGTTAATTTTCGACTCGGAGATTTATCAATGTGTGTTAGTGTGTGTGTTATTATCGTTATTATTATTAGTGTAAATAATAGTACATGTAGTAAAGTGGTAGTGGCAGGGGCGGCGATCTTGGGATCGGGGGGACACGCCTCCCCCCTCAATTTTGTATAGAGGGGATCTCCCAGACTCCCCCCCCCCCCGAAAAATTTGAGAAGTGCAAAAAAAAATGTATAGCAACATTAATACTGACTAAAGACTGCAACACACCTTTAGGCTCTGGAGCGCTCAAGAGTGCAGCGTTTAGACTAAAACAAATGCAAAAAAAAAAAAAAAAAAAAAAAAAAACTTCTTGCTCGGTTGCTACGCTACCTCGCAAAATATCCTTCAAAATGTTCGAGTAAATATTGTAGAAAATCTGTATTCCGAGGGTTTCACCGTGATACCAACGGAATACCGTTTTTCCCTCGCATTTCGCACCGGCCCCCCTGTCATGAAAAGTAATCGCTGCCCCTGGGTAGTGGAAGTAGTAGTAGTAGAAGTAGTAGAAGTAGTATAGTAGTAGAAGTAGTAGTAGTAGTAGTAGTGTAGTAGTAGTAGTAGTAGTAGTAGTAGTAGTAGTCGTAGTAGTAGTATAGGTAGTAGTGGTGGTGGTGGTATAGTAGTAGTAGTAGTAGCTGCTTTAGTTATAATAAATTCCTTTTTTTAAAATGAATTCTACCCAAGGTCTATCTTTCCCAATATCTTATTCTGCTTACAACAGGTTTACCAGTCAGTCAAATCGTAGGAGGTACCGGTCGATAAATATCGCAAAGGCAACTCTTCAGTGCATCTTAACTCCTTTTGAAGTCTTCTGGGCCTTGACAATTGGTGGGACTGGTTTGTAACTTGGCCTGTTTTTAAAAATCGATTCTGCAGACAATAACGTATTGTTGACATAGATAGTATTGTCGTTTTGTGTGTGCATTTCTTCCTCTCGACCTCATAGTTGTTGCCTTTCTCAAAAGCGCACTTTATTTTTTCTTCAAAAGTAACTGTTCTTTAGAGCGAGGGAACACAATAAGTGACGGCATGCATAGCCGGCTTAAAACGTAATTTGAAATACTATAGTGGTTAGGCCTATATTATTATGGTTTCGTGATTATGTCATTGAAAGTAATACAGATAAAAGCAAGAGCTTGTTGTTGACTGGAGGGATTCGTTTCCGAAAATTGACTGAGACTTGAGTAAGGCTAATTCATGCTCGTGAAGGTTTCCTGTGAAACCAGTGGTGATATGATGCTGTGAAACCTGAAGGACAAGGGGGCATAACAATCCCCGGAACGGATCGAGGCTTACCCTAACTTTAAAACACTCATATTGGAGCACCGGCCTGCAGCCCCCATGGGTTCGATTCATTTATAACAATTTGGAAGATCGGCGAACCAGCTCCGAAGCAGAAATGAATTCAACCCGGACATACAGTATATCCTTCTGAATTTGGACTACAATTATAGGCATATATATTTAGAAGCTGCGTGAGATTTTTTGATAACATGAACAGACGTTTTTAAAAATCTTCGATTAGTGTGCAATTGGATCAATAACTCAGATATCAAGGTAAGAGAGCAAACTATTAATTAGGAATGTAAAGCTGATTAATAAACCAGTAGTTATATCGACATTCACAAAGCAGTTACAAATTGACTGACATTCTACTGTAGAATGATATATATAGGATTCGTGTCATATACTACCATTATAAGGGCTAATACACAGGGGGGGGGGCAGATTGCTTCAAGAAAATATTATTTAAAAAAAAAAATTGTTTAATGAAATTGTGTCCGATGAATATATATCGAACTAAGTATGATAATCTTACACTAGGCCTATATCCTTTACCGCATTCTCATCATGTTCATCTATATTATCTCCCCCCCCCCCCCTTTCTGTGGGGATGTGGATGGGGTACGGCTTTCAAATAATTTCACTGTATGTTAATCCATACATATTTTGAATGTATAATATTAAAAGCATATGCCTGTCTGTTTTATTGATTCTTGAAGTTTGCATTGTTATAGCAGGTCTACTAAATATAAAATTTTCAAATGAGTAGAACTGATAAAATCTACATGTGTATATACATATCTTCTTTCAATTCGGAATCTGTATTCATGCAGAGGGTTGCCCATAATGATAACAGTTCAAAATCCAGATTATATTTACTGATTACAAAATTATACAGGCACATCGTAATCCTGAACCGATGAAACAGCTCCAAAATGTGGACATTGTTATACTTTGTTGTTGGTGGAGATAAATGTATCAAAGATATGACGCCTACAAGTGGACATTAATCAATATCTAATACACTCAGTAAAAAGAGAACACACGTGATCTTGATGTTGGTAGAGTATTGATTTTCCTTTATTTTGATATACATGTATTTTTGGGACGGTTTATATGTAAATTTTTAACAATAAACACCGTTTCTTATTTTGGTGATTGTATATAATATAGATATATAATTATATATGATATGTAAATGCTGCTAATAGTTTTCTACCACACATAATATGCTATAAACGAGCTCTGAAGATTAGAATGTATAGTCATCATATTATGTCTTAATTTCTCATGTTATAGCGACAGTTATATGTTTAAATTGTATGATGACATAGTGATCTGTGCAGTTACAAATACCATGCTTTAAAAAAAAACATAGAGAACACGTTCATAATCATATATTGGCATATACCTAATGAGATAGACACTCAATTTCATATTCTGCGCCATTATTCTTTACACTGAGGAAATGGTGCCGCATTTGATATGCTAGTATTTGCTAATGCTATGTATATATATATGGTTCTGATGTTTTTGTCTGTTTTTTTTCTCACTCCCGATCATGATCAATCTTTTTGATATCCCGGTCGCCGACTTGTCCTTTTGTGTTTTTTTGATTTATCGCTCCCACTACCCATTCATCCGGCTTTATTGTTCAATAACATTATGATCAGGCGTCATAGACGACAGACCCACGGAGGGGTTACATCTTTAAAAATGCATGCTTTGTGTCATTGTCATGGCAACAAGGAAATGAGCAAGGGCTTTAAAAGCACGTGCATTTTCCCTGTATGCCAATATTTAAGCTTTAGTAATATTCTAGACTTTACTATAATGGCTTCTTATGACATTTAGGTATCGGTCGCTATGAAAAATGCACTACCATAATTATTTCAATTAACCCTTTCCATGACATGGAAGGCATTTTCCGCCATGAGTTCAAATGACCTATTATATTACATTTTTTGGATGAAAACCTCCCAAAAAGAAAAAAAGAAACAAAGGGTCTTAATTTGTTTTGTCGTGAAGAAGAAATAAGCAATGTGAATAAATGGCATTGCAATGTTGAAGAATTGAAGGTATTAAAAGCGAACGTTAGCAATCAAACAAATATTGAACTAAACAAATTCCCAACTTTGTCTCTTGAATGTTCGTTAAGGATAATCATTGGCAATATACTGATTTACTAACATATTCAAATTTGATGCACAAAGGTTCTTCTTAACCCCCTCCCCCTCCCCCCTCCCCTCCCCCCCCCCCCGTCCCACGACCATCCCCCATCTCCCCCGCCACCTAAACCCAATACAATTATATCTCATGTACATTCTTGTAGTGCGTTACTATGTTTATCCTAGGTGATGCTATGTATAAAGACGGGTCTTTGTAAACATAGGCACAAAGGGGGAAGGACGCAAACACCATACTTTGCGAGCTGGTGAAGCATTCGTTGACATAAGTCTGGATCTTACTCTATTAACAGTAATCCACCGGAACGAGTCTTATAATAGGTTTTTAAATGCCTACAATGACAATCGTGCCGTTGCAACTTTAGCGCCTTATAGAAAACGCACCCCTATCCCCAATGCACCCTCATCACCAAATGAATTATTCTCTCTCTCTCTCTCTCTCTCTCTCTCTCTCTCTCTCTCTCTCTCTCTAAGTGCCATATCGTTTGACTTTGGCGATCATGCTGTTCCACAACCGTCGGCTCCTAGCCTTCTGTATTATCACTCCAAGTTCTTTCACTCCTCTCTCTTCCAACAATTTCTGCAGACTGTCCATCCAAAATATCCTCCTTCTTCCCCTACTCCTTCTTCCCACAATTTTCCCCGTCAAAGCAAGATTCTCTAGGCCTTCTTTACGTGTAATGTGATCCATGAACTTCAACTGCCTAATCAGCATCTCACGTATCATTTTCTTATGCACTCTACACTCTATTATTCTACAGAAGTTTAATGGAACGTATTCTGAGGGGATTCTCATTTTTCTTCTCAACTTTTTATTTTTATTGTTCTCCTTTTCACCTTAATCATCTTCTTATTTTCGATACCAGGGATGAATTACAAAATGTCCATTCTCCCCCTTTTGATCGGGTATTGATTGGCTGATGTTGCATTTTTAAATCAATATTTTATTACGTATTGAACGGTGTTACTTGCTCAGTAATTGATTCTCACCCTTTAGTTTATTTCTTTAACATCATCCGTCGCATCAGGAGATAGATATAGCTTTTTTCTTAAGGTAAAGTTAAGTAAAAACTTAAGTAAAAAGAAAAGTTACCCTAAAATATGGGACTCCTACCCGTTGAATGAAAGAATTATCAAATTATCACAGCATTCAAGAAATGTTTTCAAAACGCATCTTTTCTAACTTCTTTGTGCTGTATTTAATTGTTTAACTAGTCAGTGTTCCACATTCCATACAGTATCTATTGTTTCTATGTTAATGAATTCCCTTTGCATCTCTCTATAGAAAACACTTTGTAAATTCAACCATTTTCACATTCGACAGTTACACATTGAAGCTTTGCGAAATGGCGGATCGCCTGCGTGAGGCGGCCACCCAAAGCATCAGACGGGGCAACGACGGGGTGCTACGGGCTGCACAGGGGCTGGTAGACTCAGCATGGTCGTTATATAGAGAGCTACAGGCCGCTCTGCCCGAGTTTGCCACATCCCTGGAAACTAGTCTGCAGATTCTTGGCCAGAGTATCAGTGATGGGCAGAGGAACCTTGCTGAAGGGATCGGTTTATCACAAGGTTAAGCAAATTCAAATTCAAATTCATGATTGGTTTTATTTCTAAATGATTGAAAATCATTATAAACAAATGCAAGATAATTATACTTCGTGTAACTGCAAACAACAAAATAATGGATCAAAAAGCAAATCATGAATAGGTGCAGCTCTCTTAGACTACATTTGTGCAAAGGCTTACATGAGAGAAAATAATTATGGAATAATACATAAATATTGTCTGTCAAGATCCAGAAAAGGTATCATAATCTATAGTATCGTCCTTGTACATAATGTTATGACCTTAACAATGCCAACCGACGACCTTACATAGCATTGATGCATTCATGCCACATGGGGGCGCCCAGGTCTAATTTCGAGGGGAGGAGTGCAGGGGCGGGGTAAAGGGTGCCTCTCATAATACCTTTAAAAAAAGTGTATTTCAATTGAGACAGACTATTTTCTTAAATATATTTTCATTCGAATATTTCTTTTCCAAATCAGAGCTGTATAATCATAATCGTCTTCAAAAGTACATTGTTTTTTATCCACATTTTGGATTTGCTATCTTGTTAATGCGTCGATGAATTATGCCAATCAGTTACATTCAACGATATTATTTTTGAAAAATATTTCTTTTCTTTATTCACTGCTTCCCTTTCGGATTGCTCAGCCTCGCAGGAAATGTTGGAACAACTCTCACCCATCTTATGTGACGTCGGCAGGCATATCTTCACCATGGCAACGAGTGATTCCAGTCTGGACAGCTTTTTACTTCCGGATAACACCGTATCCATCCGGGTGAAAACAAGGTTGAACGAACTTAATCAAGTCGCCAAGGTAATAAATCCATGAGGAGTTTTGAGCTTTCTATTCTAGAAGTGTTGTGGCGTAGTGAATAAGTCGTCGGACTGTGAATCACAGGGTCCGCGGTTCGAGTCCCGCCGCGGCACTAATGTCTTTTGGCAAGACATTAATCTACACTTGCCACTCTCCACACAGGTGTTAAAGGGGTACCGGTAGGAAGGAATTCGTTAAAATGCTGTGAGAGTCGAAATCGGCAGCCTAGCATAGCCGGGATAATGTTGGAGCGCCTTGAGGACCTTGCAAGGTCGATACATGCGCTATATATATCATAAGAATCCAATATTATTATTATTTTTCCGAGAGCAAATAAACAAGCAAATAACAATAAAAACGACAAACAAACAAAAAGAATACGAAGACATACATAAAGCAAAGTAAAGAAATGGACGAACACTAACAAAAATTGAAGAAACAAAAGACAAGCAAAGAAACAGAAACAAAAATGCAATCACAATGTTACTTTCCCGAGTGATAGAAATCAAAATCTTTCTCGTCTATGACGATCGGTGTGCAACATATTTCATTCATAATTTCTACAACAAAGAAAATATATTTCCTACTTAATGGGGAATAATTTCAAATAGAGATGTACAATTATGTAGAAAGAAAAAAGACATCCCTTCATAATATTGCAAGTCTTCTGCCGCTAACTAAACTTTCCTTTGACAGTCTTGTCCAATATTAATCTTTTATAGGCTATATTTTTCTATTTTTTAAATACATTTCACTGACAAAGCATTTCTGCATTTTCTATTACAAAACGTATTAATGTAATATCATACCGAATATGAATGATCACATTTAGACATTACACAAATGAAGAAATCGATTTAAAAAAAAAATTTTGGTTGAGAATTGGGACAGCCAAATTGTCGGAATATTGCTCGAAGACACATGTGAATCAGTGAGTAAAAACTCATTATAATGAGTGGAATGGAAGATAATACCCATAATAATTATGTTATTTGTTCGTTTGTTTCTTTGTTTTTCAGGGATTATCAGCTGAACTATCAACAAACGACAGACGAAGAACAAACACAAGATTATCACACGTACAAACAGAGGAAGGTAGCACGTACTGTATGATCATATTATAGTTTTCTATGATTTAGTATGTTGGTTTTATTTGTCATTCACTAACATTTTTTTTTGGTAGGGGCGGGAGGATATTTTCTTGTTCCTTGTACGAAAACTGGATTATGGTAAATGTTGTTGTTGTTGTTGTTGGTAATAGTTTAATGGCGTTCTTTCAGTATTGAATATATACGCCACTTCGGTTTAATAATAAAATCAGTTATCCATAAAGAAAATTGAAAATAAAGATTTTTAATGATATAATTAAATAATCAGTATCGCAATTCATTAGGAGTATATGGATGGTAAATGATAAATGAAATGTGGCAAAATATCATCATATATGTGAAAAGGTAATGATAAAGTAGCGTCAGTTGCAATAACAATGAAAATTATAGCGATAATGCTAAATAATATTGATAATAATGTATTATAATAACAATGATATGTAAAAGTAATATCAGTAGATGGTCATCATGATAACAATTATAATAATTCTACTACTACTACTACTCATACTAATAATAATATTAATAATATTAATAATAGTAATAATAATAATAATATTGTTGATAATAATACTAATAATACTAATAATAGTAATAACAATAATCATACTAGTTTGAGGGCCGAGGAACGCTTCATCGTCTTCAATAGTGTTTCTCCTGAGGGCCCGTCAATTATTATTACCCTATTGCCAGGTACCAACTTAAACCTGGGTATAGAGAATGACAGGTGTGGAAAAATGTCTCGACAACGGACGTTGCCGACGTTACTGGACAAAACGAAACAGTCGCGTTTTTTCTTGTCCGTGTAAATAAATGAGAACTGCGCGCGACAAAGTCTATGCGTCTGAGAGAGACTGACATGTGAAGCGTTTTGCCTAATGCGGTGGTCACATCCCGCCGTACTTGCAAGTGCGTGCTGTCTACGTGCACAAACGTGGGCAAAATTTGGGTATCCGTACGTGACGAGTACCGCCACCGTACGGATTTGGGAGCACGCAGACGCACCGTAGCACTTTTAGTGCACGAGGAACTTTCGCTACGTTCGGGCTGCGTTCGGGCTACCGATTCACCCCAGTGCGTGTGACGTGCGTGCCCGGTACTGCCAACGAGCGCACAACGCACTGACTCCGTGCGTCTTTTAAAGGCGCACGTGATAAGTGCGTGGTCCGTGCTTACTCGCCACTTCCCCAGTTCAGCTATCCAATGAGCACGCATAACTCACGTGGACCGTACCGAGTAAGCACTTACAACGCACGTTGTTCGCACTGATTTATGCAGTATATAGTCTCTTCGGTGGAATGGGCGGCATCTTGAGGCGGCAACAGCTGGGACTTCTGGAGAACATCGGAATGTCGTCCTATATATACACCGAGTTCATCGCACGTGCACGCACTTACAACATGCGAGTGAGTAAGGACACCGTACGTGAGCAGCACTTGTAAGTACGGCCTCCGTACGATAACGTGGCAACCGCACGGAGACTGTACGTTGTAAGCACGTACAACGCACTTACCACGTGCGCAACGTACGATGCACGCAACCGTTCACGGCCAGGCGTGGCGTGCGGGCCACGTACTTACACAGTGCGTGTGACGCGCGTTGCCGGTACTCCCTCCCTGCCTTTGCCACTCCCTCCCTACGTTTTCAGAAAAACGTGGCGGCCGTGGCCTCCCCAAAAACCGTACGGACTAAAAACACGCACGATGGGATGTGACCAACGCTTAATAGTTAACCGCCGCGGTTGTGCCGCGGTTATGCCGCAGCATATCTAAACAAGCCTTTATTATTTATTTTCCTCACAGTGAAGAACTTCTGGGAAATGATTTTCGATGACAAAGAAGAGGTAAGTTTTAACATTTATTTTTTGTTTTCAATGAATTAAAAAATTCTTTAAAGACCATCAATACTACTGGGCCAGAAGGGATTAGACCACACAGCGAGGTCACTGACAGGTGGCTATCTCATTAACTCAGCTCTTAATTAACATAAGAAAAAGAGGATCATGGGGGACCAACAGGCACCGATTGGGGAAGTTTTCTATATAGAGGGAGCAAGTAGCTACAAGTAGGACAGTGGGGGCTTTAATCTATCATCAATCTATTTGTGAAGGGCAAAAGAAAAAGACCGTTGTGTCAACCAAAGAAATACTTTAGGTATATTTTTGAGATTCATGCAAGCAGTCAAAATTGTCATAAGGATTAATAACAATTTTGCCAAGTAATATTTGCCCCCATGGGTCATTCCTCCCTGTTACAAGCACTTTGGATTGATGTCATGTTATATATTCCAGAATAATTTGACTTTCATATATATCATAATTCTAAACACCTTTAGTTATTACTAATTTGGAATGACGTCAGAAAACGACGTCATAGACCTTCATCCCTGGAATAGAACGGTTTAAAGTGTCCCTGGTAGACGCCCAAATTTCTGGAAATAATGTACCCATGCAGTGGAAGGCAAACTGATGCACGGTTGCCCATACAGTTGGAGTATTTTTTCTTTCCTCTTCTCATCTGTGGATTGATTGTGACGATATGCTTTATTATTGATAGATTAAGTTAATACCGACTTTAGAACTTTAATTTTTAAAGGTACAGACCGGTAGTGGTAACATTGCGGTTCAAGGGTTTTGGGTGCAAAATATCCGTTCACTATTGTTTAGATGGCAATACTTCAACCTAAATTCGCGAAAAAGCAGAAATATATACCCAAATATTCAAAGTTAAAGTGCATTCGCGATATCTATCCAGGCCGGATTGATGTGATAATTTACCAAATATATCAATTAGTAGGCGGTTTCCCCGCAAAATTTGTATCATCACGTATTAGTCAAAACATATTCTTTCACATGATTGGTAATAAAAGCTTTCAATTCATTTTTTGAGGGGGGGGGGGGCGTTTCCAAAACTTTTCGATACCTTTAAGGATAAATCATATATTCTCAATCAATTCATGAAGGGGTCAAGAAAAGTTGTTCCAACTTTATGAGCAATCGTGAATATCATTATGTTCGAAATTGTTGTCACAGGTTGAATTGCGGGAATTCTACGACACGATATGCGCAGTCATCGGGAGAGAACCGCGATGCCCCCTGGACAGACTTGCATCGTTCTTCACCTGTAAGTATCACGAAATTCATATATTAAACTTGTGTAATATGTTGTACATTTAATATTCCTTCGATATTTTACAACATTTATCACATTACGTAGCTCGCTAATCTGTATAAATACTACGTTGATTTTTGTTAAAAGCTATTTTAGTTATGGGTAGTTTTTCCGGTTCCCTGCCTTGCATAGACCATTAATCAGGTTTAGTTCTGGTTTTTTTCTTATTATGATCTCATTTTCTGTGTTTGTCTTTGTCATATAATATATATGTTCCTTTATTGCTGAAGTATCAATCAAAATGACATACCAACAAAATACTTTGGTTCAGCGATAGCGACAAACATGCGCGCTTTTAGAATAACAACGGAGGGCGGTGGATGGTGGGCTGGAAGAATTTTTGTTCGGGGGAATGAGCCCCCCCCCCCCCCCCTCCCCTCTATAACGAAAATATGATGAAAAAGATGCCCTAGCGAACACTTGCCCCCTCCCCCTCCCAATGTTTTGTTTATTTGTTGTTGTTGTTGTTGTTGTTGTTTTCTTACAAAGATTTTGAGACCTTGACCCAAACCCACTCTCCGTAGAGGAATAATGGATCTTTTCAAATGACTAAATAACTTATGATTTAGTTATCATTTCTAATGCCAAAATGCATGTATTTTATCATTCTTCGGATTTTGGATCCTGCATTTTATTTGTATGCGCTAGTCCTTCCATCAGTTCTCTGAAGCTTTTATTCAATATGTCGCAATTTTTAAATATATACTATAATTACAAAGTCATGTTCATTGTGGTTTTCGTTTATGTTCTTTTCGTTTAAGGTGACTATATCGACCCCCTAAATTTCGATCGGTTTGTCAAAATCGTCGACGCGAACAACGTGCAAACAGCCCACAACAAACTACTTACAGGCACTGCCACCAATGTATCCCAGTTCCTTAAAAGCCAGATTAGGATTGGTCATTTACGAGACGCAATACCCCAGGGGGACTCAAACGAACCAATCAGGGCGCTCGACTCCAGGACACAGTCGAGCAATGGTTCCTTGACATCGTCCCGCCTCGCGCTGTCGCCACGGAGTGAGAATGGTGACGAAAGCATGACATCAGGGCTAAGCAACCAACCAAATGTTTCCGGCTCAGCGTGGTTGAAAATCAAGGTGGAAAGTTGGTTTCGAGAAGTAAGCAGACATTTTTCTTTTTGACTTGTATGTGATTTCATAATAATCAATCAGTGGCAGTTTTAGGATTGGTGTGTGTGTGTGTGTGTGTGTGTGTGTGTGTGTGTGTGGAGAGGGGGGGGGGGGGTCAAGTGAGGTTCATGTGAAAAATAAATGCAAGAACCCTCTGAAACCCCCTCCCCCTAAAAATAATAGACATAAAAAGAAACAACATACACCTAACATGTTTCCATTTGTTACTATGTTAAGGTTTGGATGTGTGGTTGTATAAGTGTGTGTGTGTGTGTGTGTGCGGGTCTTTGCCTTACATAAACAAAACAAATGTGAGATTTTTATAGGAGATTGAATATCAATTCACTCGACATAAACTAAAAATAATAGACATAAAAAGAAACAACATACACCTAACATGTTTCCATTTGTTGCTATGTTAAGGTTTGGATATGTAGTTGTATACGTGTGTGTGTGCGCGAGTCTTTGCCTCACAAAAAAGGAGACTTTTTATAGCAGATTGAATATCACTTCACTCGACATAAACTACACAAAACTTGATAAAGATGGTATTTGTGTTTTTTTTTTCTCTCTCTCTCTCTCTCTATCTCTCTCTCTTCCTCTCTCTCTCTCTCTTCCAGGTGGACCGTCTCTACAGGTGAGAAAACTCCCACTATTTCTTCTCTTTTTTTTGAGGGGGGGGGGGGGTATTTGGTGGGGGTGTTTAGAGCTACTCAGGTAATATTTTATGTAATGAAATAAAGAAACAAACGTTTAAATCATTTTTTAACAACTACTGTCGAAAAATCAACCTAATACAATAGCATTGTGCGTCACGCATTGAAATGTGCAAACATGACAATGACCTATTACGCAATCCGAATATGATTTGATTGTAAGATACTATAGAGTAAAGAAATTGCCCCGGAGCTGATTTTTTTTTTGATAATAGGTGTAGTCGTATTTATTGTTCATTTCCATTGTATCGTATTAAATGGGATTAACATAGGCCTGAATGTGAATGTGAGCACATTTTTTTTTTTCTTTGGGGGGGGGGGGGGGGGTCCTCGAAAATTTAAAAATTTGCACCCCCCCCCCCCCCCGAAAAGGTGGATCCGCCACTGGCGCTATATACAAACGTACATATTATTATTGAAACTGCATTGTTGTTTTGATCAAGGTTCTTCCACGGGGACATCCCCAAAGACGACACGGAGGCCCTCCTTAGAGGGCGCCTTCCAGGTACATTCTTGCTTCGATACAGCTGTACCAACCCCAGTCGTCTCTGTGTATCGTTCGTCCACTCAATACCGATCAGTGATAACTATAGCTGGAAGGAGCAGGTCCACCGACGTGACGTCATTCTTCACCATGAGCTCCTGTGCACAAGTAAGAACGCTTTAAATCCCGTCTGTACTAGTTTGGCTAGGAGCTGATGGGTGGTCACTGACAGGTGGCTCTCTCATCATCTCAGCTCTCAATTCACATAAGAAAAAGAGGATCATGGGGGACCAATGGTCACCGATTAGGTATTGTCTCTATACAGAGGGAGCAAGTAGCTATACAAGTAGTACAGTGGAGCTTTAACTCTTCGGTTGCTTTAATCTTCACTTCTCTACACGGTCGCTCGTATGACAGACGTACATTTTTGCATAAGATAATATGCACAGTGTAATTGAAGGACAGAATGCTTTGCGCAACAAAGCGGTTTTTCAAAATAACCCATCTCTGGTCCTGATTAGCTCCGTGACTTTCTTTTAATACCTTTGGCCCTTTGCATAAAACTTAACATGGATTGGACCTTTGCCATTATTTGTAACTACCATGGCAACATCACTCAACAGCCAATCAAAGCAAAGTTTGCATGGAAGTTACAATTATTGGCAAAGTTACCATCCATGTTAAGTTTTATGAAACGGGCCCGGTTTCAATTAATCTTATACATTGGAGACTGTTGGATGATCTACCCCATGATAAATACAATGCAGCACATGGATATCATTTGTGTGGCAAAAAGGAATTGAGCTAATGTTGTACGCTATAGTTATTCATCTGTTTTAATTCATGTCTTCTTTAAAAGCAGGATAGTCCTGTTCAGAGCCTAGCAAACCTAATTTACAAAGGAGCCTTGTGGATGTCTACATTATTCACCAGGGCGTCGTTTCACGTAACCGTTTTAAGTACAAGTTCACCGACATCCCATTGAAGCCCATGTTAAAATATATTTAGCACGTGCGTTTCAATCGTTCTCGGCTAACTTGTTCATATGACAGTTTCGTGAAACGCTTCCCAAACGTTTCACAAAGATTCTAAGTCGAACTTAACTCTAAGTTGGACTTAAAGATTATAGAGAGCCATTTGTAGCCTGAAAATAAAGTATATTGCAAAGCAAAAAATCAAGTATTTTAGACTTTTTATAAATTCCACATCAAGAACATGAAATCTCCTTGATAATAGAAACTATGAATGATTTGAATCAACAAATGTTGATGCCTTTTAAAAAAACTTTTACACAATATTTTCATAGATGCTAACGGCTTTCCATAATTATTAAGTCTAATTTAGAGATAAGTTCTACTTAGGATCTTTGTGAAACACCCCCATGATGTGATATTACTCGTACCAAAATAATGTCCGATATTGTTTCATTATCAGATGTGAAGGAAATCAACAGTCCAAGACAAGGAGGCGATATAAGGAGACGATTCAGTTGCGACGATCTCAGTCCACGAAGAGAAAAGAAAGCGGTACCTAATAGGCAAAGAGGTAATGATTACCATATTTGCTAAGTCTAGCGCGCTGTAACATCAACATTTATGAACAATGTGTCCTTAAAATTTACTGTAACTCCTTAGAATTGGTCATATATTCTTCAATCAATCACCAATTAACATGAATTGTAACTTATGTGGTGCGTGGTGTAACACCACAAAATAAAACGAAATTACATGATTTACAATAGGAAATTTTATTTGAAAGTAAAGTTAGTGTGGAAGTGAATTTTGTAAAATCAAAGATTTATGTATTTTGTTCAAGGGTGAACAAAGCAAAACAAATGAAAAACAAAGAAAATGAGTATTAGATTTACGTCACCTCCTCTTTTGTGTAAAAACTCGCCTTTTGACATTAAATAGAATGACACAATGTACATATTATATCATAATACGCGATTATGACGGTCAAGTGTGAAGCAATTTGAACAGGTGCGGTACACAATTTACTTTATAAACCAAAAAAGTACCTCAGTGTACTTAATACTTCTGAATTGTCATCTTTTGAAAGGTTAAGTAAATGATCGATTGGATACCAATGAGTGTTATGTGTGTTTAATGGTGAAAGGCTTACTTAACCTTTCTGTTTTCAATTAAGCAGAATCTGTTGTGGGTACTTATCTTGTTTGCCCGTGTAGAGCCCATTCATTCAAGTATTGACCCTGAAGGTTATATCATTATCGCAGAAGGCGTCCTTAAACGTTGGAAAGTTTGTATTATAGTCTCTCTCCCATCTCCCTCTCGCTCTCTCTCTCTCTCTCTCTCTATCTCCTCTTTCTCTCTCTCTCTCTCTCTTTCTCTCTATTTCTCTTTCTCTCTTCATCTGTCACTGTATGTGTCTCTTTCTCACACCACACACACACACACACACACACACACACACACACAATTCATTTTTTTTCTCATGTGATTTTATTCTGTTTCTGTATCTCACACGCACATTAATACACAATCATACGTATTCACAAATACACACTATCTCTGTATCCTACTTCATTTATCGCTCTATCTCTATCTTCAACACGCACAATACGTGAACGCGCACATACCCACATTCTACCGACAAACACATACACGTGCGCTCTCTCTTTCTCTCTTCCTCTCTCTCTCTCTCTCTCTTTCTCTGTCTGTCTCTCTCTGTTTCTCTGTCCCACAAACAACTTCTCTCTCGTCCTGTGCTGCTTATATGGCAATACATCTCGGAGCTCCCCTTTCCCAGTAGTGTGACGATTATTACAGGCACCCTGGTTTGAGAATGCTATTTTGACATACATGTATACATTATAATGTCTTTTCGATCGCTTCTTCTTTCTTTTTTCCCTCCATTCGCAGCGTTTAGTGCCCTTCATCACTTGTTGAAATCGGGTGCCTTGCTTGAGGAGAATCTGAAATAGTCCGGGAAGTTTCTTCAACATTTGCAGAGATCGGGCCAAATATTCGTGAACTCGATGAATGAACATCATTTTGAACGAACGCTTTAGGCGCCATAAATGCTCTGCATAGAGGCCCGAATTCACAAAGGAGGTTGTCGACAAACCTTGGTTTTAGTACGTCATATGACGCGTTTTGACGTATTCTTACAAACCAGGTTTGTAAAAACGCGTAAAAACGCGTCATATGACGTACGAAAACCAAGGTTTGTCGACAAACCTCCTTTGTGAATTCGGGCCAGAGAGTTTGATTCAGACCTAATCACCATGCGCAATTCGAAGAGTAAATTGTGCATTTTCAAATCACGCCAAATCAAATCAAGCCAAATCCGAGCTTTTTAGTAGAGTGACCTGCTACAATGGCAGGGAAGAGTGGGGTTATACAAAAGGGCGAGAAAAGAGAGAAGGGGGGGGGGGGGGAGTCGGTAAAATACGGGGAAGACCTCCAAGCAACAATAGGCCATTTTCTTAATGTAACCAAATTTAATGCATAAGTGTTTGTGAAATGCCTAAATACCAATTATTTCATTCACCTAATAGGAATAATATAATAGTATTGAATAGTATTTTGATAGTCAGATTGCAACTGCATATATCAAGTGTTGCTAGTTAGGTCATTCATAATGTTTGTCCAACCTGGCAACAACTAATGTATGCAGTTTGGATTCTGTCTATTGAAATACTATTATTCTTATCAGATGAATGAAATAATTTGTATGGAGGAACTTTACAAAGAAGTATGCATTAAATTTGGTTACATTACGAAAATGGCCTATTAATATATGAAATTCGCATTCTTACTATTGAAATACAATTATTTGTAACAGGTGAATTAAATAGTTTGTAACGGGGCACTTAACAACATTTGTGAATTAACTGATTACGTTACGAAAAAGGTGTATTACGTGGGCAGAGGCTTGTAAATTCGCATTTCATTTTTTCCAGAATAAGATCGATGCCCACAGTATTGCAGTGACGCCTTAACCTTATACAACTTGAAATTTAGACGTATATTTTTTTATTGCGAAAATTATAATGACAAACCCTTTGGCCAATGTTTGGGGCACGAGGTGCTACTTTCCAACTTTGATCATTACGACATATCTTGCAGCTGACTAATTTGTGAATGATTGTAATGATTGTCATGTTAATTGTAAAATAGCGACTGGCTGGAATGCTCCCCAGGGAGTGGAGAATGTGCATGCCTTGAGTAAAGCATGAATCCGATGACCGGGGTAACAATATATATCTGTAAAGCGCATTGAGAGGGCCTGCGGTCCTGAAATGCGCTATATAATATAAGGACGAACTATTATTATTATTATTATTCATGTACAATTATTTCTTGTCCGTATACATGAAGGCGTATATTGGCAATTTATTAGTTGCATTGGGTATTACAAAAAAAAAATGTTTTTTGATATTTTGAAAACTATATTTTTATATCTCAAGAATGTGATAGAGAATATATTTATTTCTGTAAATCGCTAATTTGAGGAGATAACTCCTCATTTAGATCTTTTGAAAATGGTGCATTAATAACGACCGCCTTTTTATTTGTTTTACGAGACATGCTCCTACGACAATTATTGTTTAGCGGCATTTCCCGACACTAACCGAATTCCCAAATTAAACACTGGGCACCGAACTATACCTAATTATAACTCAAGGCTAACCCTAAATCTAACGTAAAACCCCATTGCAACCCTATGAATCTGACACGATATATATATAGCCCATAGCAATTGTCGTCGGTGAAAATATGGGATCACGATTTATGAGTGCTACTGAATTTCAAACACATTTTCATAGTAGTCATTCATTTTATCGTTCGCTTTTATAAAACATGATAAAACACTGAACTATAATTTTCATAGCAATAGAATGAGAACATCTGATTTGTAATCACTGTATCATTCCGACCGACTTAATTTTAATCACAATGTTTGCTGTAATTTACAGCGAGGAGTCTCATTCATGACTAGAAATCAAAGGTGAATATTATTTAAAAAACGATTCGAGATTTAACAATCCTAATTAAGGCCCAGGCATTAGTTTTGTTTATTTCTTGCAAAGCCAAAGTAGCGGCTTAACAAAAAAAGGGGATAGCAAGAGAAGAGATTGAACATAAATTTATTTTAGCGAAGCACATGTAGAAAAAGAAGCAAGAACGCCAAATTAAATGCCCCTTTTCTATGTACAGCACATAAATACATACATACATTTTCTATTAAATTTTAATTTTTAAAACGATTTCTGTTATTGTATGAAGAATTGTTATTTCTTGTGTTTGTGTATATATTTACATGTATGTGTGTGTGGGTGTGTGTGTCTTTGTGCGTGTATACAATTTTCTAGAACCGCGCCTGCTGCGCTTTGTCACATACAGTATGTGTATATGATTTCAAGTCGGTCCACTAATATATCACTTCACTACTTGAAGGTGAGTTGACGGTTGCCCGAATATTGATAGCTTATAACAAATAGCTTTGATATAGATATAATTTATAAAATCCAAGCTCAAGAAGTTCACCCGGCATTTCATAGGGTAACAAATAAGGATTACGAAGATTTAAAAAAAAAAAAAATATGGCGCGCAAGGGATGGTGTTGTACAAGCAGGCACGGATGCGACAAGTAATATACTCACAGTTCGCTTTAATGTTAGCTAAGAGTGTACGTGTGAAGAGTTATTACAGAAGTGATATTTCAAGCTCACATTTTGAACATAATGTTAAAGGTTAAGACCAGTTTGGGAAATGCCCCCTCAAAAAATGAAATGGAAGCACTTGTTACAATTTACAAATCATGTGAAAGAATATGTTTTGACTAATACGTGATCATACAAATTTTGTCGAGAAACCGCCTGCTAATTGATATATTTGGTAAATTATTATATATTTTTGGACCTGATAGATATAACGCACGTGTCGCGTACGTGTGCGTAGTCCTATTTACATCTTACTGTGTACAGTGCCTAACTTTACCAAGACTGGGCCAAATTCCTTATCATCGTGATGATTCCAGGACCTTGCAGTACACACCAATACTTATATGCTAGATGATCAACCTTTTTTGATCGATTTCACAACGTTTCTTTCACAATGCTGTAATTTGACAAGTGCTTTGTCCACACACCATTTCTGCACTTCATGGCACTCCTTGCAGTTACTCTCTTCACCTATACCATCCCAGTATAGCTTCCTGCCTTAGTCGCCTTGCATATACGGCAAACACATTAAATACACTTCACAAGTGTAAAATAAATATATATTGTTGGCTGCGTACTCGCCTCAATATTCCGTGACTAAATGTATATAACATATTACAAACGCTACACTCTCTGTAAAGGCCCGGTCACACAGAGGGGACGCATGGGGGACGCACGGTCGCGTGGGTCCAGCGCGCTCGACGAACGAGTAACGAGTGATGACGCACTGGCCAAAATAGCAAATGTCCAATGCGCTGGCCGTGTGTTCACCATGCGTCCCCTCTGTGTGACCGGGCCTTTAGAAACGGGGGACTTTCTGGTTGATGTTTGCTGTCTATACACGAATTTAAACGATTTGTCTCGATTTGAATAGTTGGTAGGGCCCTGTTGCATAAAAATAAGCATTGATGGTAACTTTGTTATTAATCAACGTCAATAGAAACCTTGATTTGTTTGGCTGTTTAGTGATGCTGCCATTATATGGTATAGTTATTATTGATGGCAGAGTTGTTAGAAATTGTAAGTTTTATGCAACGGGGCCGAGCATTACCCGCAGTTCATCAGCCGGACAGTTTTATCGTGCAATATTAATTTAGATATCAACATCATCAACAATTCAATTCAATATCAACATAGTTTTATTTGGTAACATGGTTTGAAGCAGTAGACTGAACTGCAAATATGAACACGGGATAAACAATTAACATTAACATACAAATTTCATAGCACTATATATTAAGATAAAAAATGTTTTATAACTACGATTATCATTATTATTATAGAGATAACATACATTGTTAAAATACCTTGGAATAGTTATTTCAAAATATTATAAATTAAATTGAATAACTACCAAGTTAAAATTAATGAATGAGACCAATAACTCCACATAATGAAAAAAGTACCTGTGATTGAGAGTTTAAACAAATGAATGCATTATGAAATGCTGTAAAGGATAAAGAAGAAAAAAAAATATTGCCAGTTGCAAGTTTTCCACGACGTACATGAAATAAAATTGTTCTTTTACAAATCGATTTGTCAACAACGATAAACAATAATATATTGATCGTCATCACAGAGACAAGAAGTCAGATTTTTTTTTCTAGAATTCATTTAAAGTCTAAATAACATACTTGTGTTCGTTATAAATATAAGTCATCAGGACACTTGGTCATCCATAAAGGGGGGGGGGGGGGGTGGGGGGCCTCTCGACCAAGGGAAGAGGACAGTGGCTTATATAAGCCATCCCTCTCTCAAAAACAGAAAAATCCTCAAGCCCCCCCCCCTCCCTAAATTTTCGCGAGTGATGTTAATACAATTAATATAAGAACCACCAATCCACTTACCCCTCCCACCAGACAACACTGCCCCCAAAATAAAACAAAATACATATCTTCTCGAAATGGCTTCTTGACAAGAGCGGGTATTAAATACGATAATGTGCAAGAGTACAGAGGCGCGTTGGAAAAAAGTTTAAAGGGGAAAGGGTCATAGCCGTTCGAGATTTGGGGCAACTCGGGATAAATTTTAACAATTAAAACTTTAACATTTTCCATTTTAGAGAGAGAGAGAGAGAGAAAAAAAAAGAAGAGATATAATGAAAGAGATAGGGGAGTATAAGAGAGAATGAGTAAGAGAGGGGATAGAGAGAGAGAGAGAGACAGAGACAGAATGTGTTTGTGTGGGCGATAGAGAGAAAGACTGAGGGTACGTGTGCATAAGAGACAGATTGAATGAGAATGAGGGTGTGTGTGTGTAAGAGAGAAAGAAATAAAGAGAGAGAGAGAGAGAGAGAGAGAGAGAAATGCACTAGAAGTAGAAACACCAGTCCAGGTTTTTTCATTCATGAGATGAGCGAGAAATAAATATAACATTATGCAATATCACAACAAGTGCAAAGCCGTATATCCTATGAAATGGAGATATACCACATTGGTATCGGCATAATATAGTTGTAAATTCATCATCACATTACGTTAAGGGTTTTGTTTGAGCTATCAAATCAATGATATCCGACATACTCGTATCTTGGACACTAAAGTCGGGTAGTCTGAAGTTGAGTTTCCTCGGGTTATCACCCCGGTAATGCACCATACGGAGTTCCTTCCATGGATCTAGTGTGACGGCAGGACCTCCAAGTTTCATAGCGTGTATCTTGAAATAATGCACGTTTATCGGTCGCAGGATGTTTTTGTCGTGCGACGCGTTCGGTTCTGTCGGTTCCTCGGCCCTCCATTGATTCCTCTGAATAAGCGATTGCCCACCAAGCGGTTCGGTTGTATTCGGTCGCCCGAAGAACCAGTTCTGCAATCGGGCTGCTCCAATCCGGTCATACAACGGATCGCTTAGGTAGTCCGTGATCCGCGGTTTGTCCGGATTCATCGGTTGGACGTACTCATCGACGTCGATTTTCACCATCCATTTCGACATGTGCCGATTTCTCCACAGGCAATCGTTCTCGTGTGCGATCTGCACTTCGAGGTAATTTTTACACGCTGTCGATTCGTGGGACCAGGGTATCACAGTGACCAGGCCGCTCACGATTTCGCGGGCGACGGTTTCACGAAGCGTGCTCTTTTCTTCGACTTGGTTGTCGTAAATAAAGATGTGGTCAGCTCCGACATGTTGATGAAAAGCCACCCACTCGGGCACGAATTCATCCGAGTCTTTCAACATCGTACACACACTCAACATACGACGTTGCCGTTTTGAGGCGCCTGAGGAGCACACAGTGATGTTCTCGTACGAATTCGTTCTTGAATAAATACCCTCTACCCCGCGATAGAGAGAGACTGACAAGTTTTTTCTCTCATGAAGGCTCATTGGTATTGGGCACGTTATTATAATAACATATTGCGGTCTATATCCAAAACTCCTATCATCGTTAACCACTGTGTCGCAGGCAACGCGCTTGTTTTTTTCGTATTCGCACACAAAATCATCACTTCGCCAGTCCGAATACTGCAGACGCACACCAACAATAACAACTTTATGAGAGACGGGGTCAGCGAAAATGGAATGTACGGTCGGCATACCCGTCCGCGTCAACTTTGACTTCAGGAAGCACATGTCACCACGGGGTGACGAAAAAATAGTCGATGGTGGATCCTGTGGTAATATAGTCGACCTCCTGCGTATTAACTCACGCGCTTTGTATTTTTCGGCCAATGCGCGCAGGGCCGGAGTGGAGGACGTGTGAAGGTAAACGATAGTGGTTGCTATGAATAAGGCGATGACGATAATGATGGCTCCGGCCAAAGGTATCATTTCCTTCGCGACTTCACTGGTCATGTGATGTCTCCTATGAGCCCAGTCGCTTTCTGAATGCTCGGACTGAGTTCTCAGTCTGCTGTATCTTGTGGGCGGAGTCTGCATATTCTCCATGACGACGGATGTTATCCTTGTAATATCCTTAAATTTCCAGCCGATGTGAAGGTGATGATTTGAGAAGGCACTTAACTTTCACCACGGGCCAACAGATGGCGTCCTATATCCATGTATTTACCTGCAATAGTGAGAACATAGTAAAGCATTTTGGTCTAAGCATTCTGATGGTGACTCCAAAGTATACTTTTTTATTCAGTAAAAGAGAAAGAGCCGAGTTCATCACAAAAAATGAACCTATCATCACAACAGGCAAGTCCGATAAAACCGATAGACTTCGTACATGTTTATCGAATGATATAATTGTACATGATTTTTCATTTAATTACTTTTGTAAACATTGTATTCATTGTATTTGTTATTGTTCGAAATTTTGTACTTTGACTTTGAATTTGTATATTTTTGAACGCAGAAATAAAATCAATCAAACAAACAAATTTACTGTTTTAAGATGTTGCTCATTGATTTGGTTACGATCTGTTAGTCCTTAATTGTGCAAACCGAGGTTGTAGATGGTCTCATTAGATTCTCTTCAATTGGTTTATGAATCCAAAAGAGTACACTATCTGCCTGACAGAACAATAGACCGACCATACAGTTCTTAGTCAACACAAAGTACAAATGACCCCGAATATCCACAGATCTTTTACACAAGTCAAGGAGCAGGCCCACTTTGTGAACTTTAAAATAATCCCTGCCAAAGTCAAATATGTGCTTCGATCATGAAAACATTTTGTTTGCCCACTTTAGAAGAATACTTTCAGCTGTGTTCAATAAAGTGTGCCGTCATTAAGCGCTTTATACATGTAATATGTTACTTTTTTAACCTTTTTAAAAATTATTAATAATATTATTAATCTAAAATTAGATATGATTATTTTGATTTCACACAATGCCCCACCAAGGAATACACATCATGCACGAAATAATGGTCGGTCACTTAATATAATTTTAGAGCATGAATTAGGCATTCTAAATATCTAAAGCTTAATGGATGCTACTTCATCAAAACATCGCTATATCTTCTGGCGAAGCGCTCTTATATTTGTGTCAACTTTTGCATCAAGTCTTTCGTCTTCTTCGTGCATGGCTGATCATCAACAAAGCGGCGTTAAGTCTTTTGTCAACTCCGTTTGTTGCTACGGCAGGCAGCCAGTGAAAACGAATTCGTTTAATCAAATCATGGAAATGCAAGCATTACTTTAAACTGACAGAACTTTGTTAATCCTGGCTCATTTTCCTGATTGAGGTGTCATATGAAAGGGCAAAAAATGAACTTTCTGGAAATGTGTTTTTCTCTTTGACACTCAGATACCGCCCTAAAATTTACTTGTTGCTACCCTCTCTTCAAATTGTTTTTCATCACTAATGCGTGAAATATGCATCATATGAGTTGCATCAACTGAAAGAGGAGGATCTAAGCTTTACAAATATGTGTCATTTATTAATTATAATTGTGATTAAGATATGATAAATCATCGATAATTCTCGGTTTCGTTTTTTCTGGGACGCACTGCATGTATATAGGCCCAAGAGCCTTAACTTTAACAAATGTGTCATGGAAGTACATAGACAAGCGCCTATGTTGTGTTACGCAGGCAACAAAGCAGCATTTGCAGATCTTACTGCTACTTATTCAGGAAAGGGGCTATACTATAATATGTCTTACAAACATTTATAGTCGTTATGCTGCTCCTTACGATCGATGCTAAAAAGTTTCTTATTAAAGCGATTTCCCGTGTAATGAGGTGCAAGTAAAACAATCCCGCTTAATAGCCTAGACAAATCGAGAAACTAATGAAAAATAATCACGATTTTCATTGTTTTAAATAGTAAGGAAAACATTCAAGAACTCTACTACACTTTATCCTATCTTCTTAGCTGTGTAAATGACTTTTCTGCTTGTAAAGAATGCTTTTTTTCTGGATCTAAACCGAGCCTTTCAATCCATCTCCTTGTCTGCTTTCATAGTCAATGTAAAGATGGGCAGCACAATTATTGATGTCACTAAATACAATGCACCAACTCCACATGAATGATGTGCCCAGGCGCAAAAGATAAGTAGGAACACGAAGAACACAATAATAAATAAGAACACTCAATTAGACCTACTAGAAAGAAATTTTTAAAAGATGACTTTTAAGGGCACTTTTAACACAGTCTACACTTGGAATGTTACACATGCCTTGCGGCAACTGTTTCCAAATTAAGGTCTAGCATGAGCAATTGACTTCCAAATATTCTTCTCACTTAATTCAAGTTCATTGAAAATAACAATAGATAATCATGTTACACGTATAAAAGAACAAATTGAAATGAACTTACACGTGTTTGTTGTCATCCAATAATCGTTCCTATTTCGAAATCGGAGACGAAAGCTGATTCTGTTGCATGGATATGCGGGCTATCAAACAAAGTGCAGTCACGTTGTGCGTGCATGGTTACATTACATCTGGAATGGTAACTTAAATGGGGGCACGGATATTGATAAGATAATAGCAAAGCATTTTGCACTTTGAACACTGGGGACCATAAGAACACAGCTAATATAGCGGTCTTTGCAGTAGACTGAGCGACTTTGATCCAATAAACGATGTTTGCAGAGCTCGCCGAGTGGGCAAGGGTGACCGAGGCTTCATGGCGGTATGCTTTTCAGTTAACCCTTTAAAAGGCCGGGTTATTTTGGTGCTCGATCTCTCAGTTGAAGGGGAAGGAAGGAATAAAAGATAGGAAACATCAACAAAATATTTTAATTTTTCAGTTCAGGAGGGGTTGTTTAACTAATCGTTTGAACTGTTTTACGGTCTTACTATTTTTTAGATTAGTTGGGAGGTTATTCAAAATAATTGAGTTATTGATATGCGGTTAAAAGAGAGGTGATTACAAGTGATTAGTGATTACAAGATTTTAATGCAACGTAAACAAAAAATTACGTACATATTGGTTACCTAATATCGTGCAAACTGTCCGTATCTGCTTCTATAATTTGTCTGTTTTCTCTCAATTCCAATTTTTTTTATGAGGGTTTGATCTTTTCCCTTTAATTTCAAAGATAGAGTTTAGTACCGGTCATCTGATTGCATTGTAAATAAAACTGTGTCGAATAGATTTTAAAGGGCTGATCATGTAGCACAGAGAAAATGGTGTGTACTATGTGGTTTGAATCGTCAAAATGATCGGGAAATTGGTCCACTTTTGCCAATAGTCGCATACATTGGGTATATGAGACTACATAAAGAAGACCCATCCTTTTCAGGGGGCGTTTAGTTTTTTCTGTCATATTCTTCCACAATAGCATAATAGGAAATTCAAACGTTCACAAATAATTTGACCACCTTTCCAAGAACTTCAACTTCTCTTAACATACTGCGATCATTCTTTGGTGAGTAGATGACTTACTGACCGCTTATTTAAACACAAGACGTGCGGGACTGTTATCACAGCTATACATTATAACATAGACTGAACTTTATAGTTTAATAGGTAATTTACTTAATAGATCAATCTGAGAGACAGCACATTACAAACAACGAGAAACTGGGAACCTATCTTCGCGATTACAGAGTAGTGAAATGTCCTTAATACAGAAAAGTGAAAGTTATCAACACATACAAAGGGCAATTCCACGGTAACGGAAGGACACTCAGACAAGATTTTTGAACTTCAGGTTCATACTAAAAGAAATGTTTTATTAGTATGTATTAAACTATGGGGAACAAAATGTGTTTCAGTCAAGTGGAAAGCTTCATCAACTTCACAAAGTTTGGATAAACACTAATTAGGCCTAACTGGAAAAACCATGTCCATTTTTATGTCCTTCCGTTACCGAGATAATTAATATGCACATTCTTAAACTACTAAACTATAATGACAATTTTTTGGGGGAGAATTAAAGGCACTTATATAGGTATTATATCTGTACTGTTTCACATCTTATACTAATAAAACAGTTCCTTTAGTATGAACCTGAAGTTCAAAAATCTTGTCTGAGTGTCCTTCCGGTACCGTGGAATTGCCCCAAACATAACAAACATGGGTAACCAAACGTAGTCCAGATTCTGGCCGGTCTTATTTTATTTTCCGATCGCAATTTCCCCCAGCCCTACCTGTTGCAAGCCAAAGAGGGCGTGATCTAGGAATCTGAAAGCCTACGGATGGACTATGCCCGAATGAGACCAGCTAGACTAAAGATTTTTCTTTTCTTTTCCACCGGGCGGAGACACTCGGGGATCACGCCATCTTCTGCTTCCAGCAATGAGGATGAGATTGCGTTGTGTTGGGGGAGTTCGTTCAAATGAAATCGGCAAATTCTGGTCTATGATCCAAAGGTGATAGAAGGAAAAAAATAAAGGGCATGTCTAAAGAGTATTGAAAAAGGAAGTGACCAGTCACGACAATTTTGTTTGAAAAGGGATTATTTCATAATTCTTTCAAAGCGGTTTGGCGAATTGTAAAAGATCTGCAGATAAGAACTAAATAGATAGATGTTATTCAGGAAATTTATTGCTTGAGACAGACCAACATTACAAAATAAAAAAGAAGAGAGAGAACTTAGTTTACCTAAAAAAAAATTGTTTTTGTACTAGCTCCATCTGCCATCGTTTCATTATATTTAAGGCGAATTTCTTCACCCCCCCCCTCAAAGAATGGGAGATCATCACGATTGACCGATAGCAATTTAGACCGACACTAACCAAAGGTTCACGAGATGGACCGCCCGAGAGACGGTCAAAACAAAGATTTTATTTTATTTTTGTATTTTTTTAAATATTTATTTTGGTTTAAAAAGTCATATAAATATACATACTTCAAAGGTCCAAGGACCAAAACTACTCATGTTTACAAATTATACAATACGGTTATAAATACAGTAAATATACAATAGTGAGCCAAACGAAAGGTGTGACAAATACAATACGGTACTAAAGATGATAACAATATACAGAAAAGAATAGTTCGGCAAAAGCTGAACGAGACCGACAATACAAGAAATGAGTAAGACTTTAGGGAAGATAAAATAATGTCAGTCTTGCGGGCTATCGGTTTCGTCAGCCTCATGAAGCATGTGAAAATGGGTTAAAGTCCACAACATCGACATGGTCCGTTTAGTGTACTGTCGGTTTCGTCGGCTGTCGATCTAGTGAACCATAAAAGAAATTGCCAGGACCCTGGAGACCGACATTATCGACACTGTCGGTCTCCAATGATATCGGTCTCGTTGGCTGTAGCTGATTAATGGCAGGCGTCACAGCGAGCAGTACGTCGGATCCCGAAATGCACTGGACCTTGTAAGGGCTGAGGGCTTTACTCTTAAGAACAGAACAATGGAGAACCAATCGATCAATATAGGCATATTGATCTCCTTCCTTACCTTAAAAACAAGACCTACACAGAAAAGAGAAACAAGTATATGCCCCACGTTTAATACGTATACATCATCATGTGTGTAAATGTGATCGGTGTATGTGATATATTCATGGGGGTTTCACATCTACAGTACATCAAAAGGCATAAATGTACTAGTTCTATGCTGGAATTACCTCACAAAGAAAACGCTCCATCTTACGCTCTGTCATCGAAGTATAGATCAGGAGGACAGCTGGTTTCGCTTTAACATCTTTTAACAAGCATTACATCTGCTGACAGGATAGAAATTGGTAAGACATTCAAGACTTTTTCCTTGACGAGTTATTTCCTGACTTTCACGCTACAGTTAAAGAGAAGGTTGGGTTTTGGGAAGAGGTAAAAAATAACTTGTGAGCGTTATCATTGTTATTAGAGCATGGCTCTTCAAATGCCTTCATATTCTAAATATGACATGAAACATCGTAAAAATCGGGTGGTAGGTTTTTTTCGTCATGTTCTCGTGTAGTCCCATATACATCATTCTGTGTACAGTGCTTGAAACTTTGCCAAGATTCGGCCAAATTTCTTATCATTTTGATGATTCCAGAACCTTGCAATACACACGAATACTTATATACTAGATGATCAACCTTTTCTGATATATTCCACACCGTTTCTTTCACAATGCAATCACATGACCAGAACTCAACTTTATCTTTAAGTGCCGGAGTCTGGCATCTCCTTAGTTTGTTGTTCACTAGTGAACTGAAATAGGGTATGTTGGCTTAAGTTATATTTTCTTTCGTAACCATACAGGAATCAAATGATCAGATGCTGTCTATTGACGATAGTCAATAACTTGTCCTTCTATCAATGTTTCTTTTTGCTACAATTCTATTAATCCATTGCCTCCTGGTCCCAGATGGCTCCTGTATTAAGCCTATGGGAATGTACGAATGTAGCTGTCAACATGTTAACCACATCTCCCCTGTTTCCTGGGGGTGTTTCACAAAGATTCTATGTTAAACCTATCTCTAAGTTGGACTTAACAATTATGGAAAGCCATTATCATCTATGAAAATATTTTGTTAAATTTATTTTAAAAGGCATACAATGTTGATTCAAATCTTTCACATTTTCTATTATCAAGGAGATTTCATGTTCTTGATGTGGAATTTATAAAAAGTCTAAAATACTTGAATTTTCACTTTTGAACATATTTTATATTTCAGTTACAAATGGCGCTCCTTAATTTTTAAGTCCAACTTAGAGTTAAGTTCGACTTAAGATATTTGTGAAACACCCCCCCCCCCCCTGAACTACTAAGGCTTGGCTTTGTAGGTATTGCAAAGAAGGTCGAGGTCTGCGGAAAATGCAAAATAAATTTGTGAGGTTTCTCATTCTTGTTTTGTTATGTTCAAAAGAAGTAATGATCAAATTAGGACAAATGTCCCCTTAAAAAGGATTATTGTTCACACACTGTGTCACATGACTGAGATTCGAAAAAAATGATTTCAAAGAGTTCAAATTCGTTCATGGCACAAACTCGTATTTTATAGTTAGTATATGATCATTCGATCATTCTTGAATGCGGTGCATGTGATTTTGGGTATCTCCCGTTAATATTATTTTGACGATTTCAAAGCCCCGCACTGCACACCGATTCTCATGTACTAATCAACATGTATTAGCTCCCAGACAATTTCTTTCACCCTGACTGTTCAGTCAGACACAATTTCGTAACATCGAGAATAGGCACATTCTTCGAAAACAGGGAATAACGCATAATGAATATAGACACGTTATCATTCAAAGCACATCGTGTACAAAAAGCACTATAAAAGGCAAAGTGCTCCCCCCCCCACTTTTTATGAGATATATTTTCTTTCAAATGTTTTCTATTTGACAGGTACTTCATCAGACTTATCATTAATGGATTTTGAAGATAGTTGAGCCAAAGCATTGTTTTTCCAAAAAGGTATGTCACCAGCGTATTGACTTTCCCCTTCCTTTTGTACACAATGCCTTGCATTCAACGATGAGGGCTATATATTTACTGTGCGTAATTCCCCGTTTTCGAAGAATTTGCCTGTTCTCGTTTTTCCGAAGTTGTAGCTTGCTAATGTAGATTACATGGCAGAAACGAAAAATTATATCTAATTTTATTTATAATTTCTTTACTATCCATAGAAATCTGTTTGTGTTTTTGGAATTAGTGTAATATAGTGAGCTTGAGCGAATAGGGGTGTGATATATGGGTAGTTTTTAAAGGCTCTGATAGCTAAATTGAACTTTTTGAAGAAAACTTCTTTTCCTGACTATTGTATCTTTTTTGACATGGTATACAGGGCTTTTGTATATTTTTTCTTTTCATTTTATTTTGTATTTTCATATGTTTAATTGAATCAAAACGGAATCACAGCATTTACAATTAACTAGAGAATCATTATACACCAAGAGTAAGTAGTACATAAAATGACACACATACTTTTTTAGAGGTAATCTTAACACAATAATTAAATATATATATACCAGGAATGCAGGATAAAGGGCCATTATTGAAACTGTGAATTTTATTTAGCATGTTTATTTTTCCTATTTGTTTACTATTTCTATTCTTACAGAGCCACATCCTCGCCACATAAAAAAAAACGCTTCTTCATTTTCCATCTGACGAACTCGAATAATACGAATAATGAACCTTTGGTCACAGAATGATGCCCAACAATGAGAAATTAGAAGGAAGGTTTATATCCAGAGGTATATGAGCTTGACGTGATCAGCTATCAACATGCCGCTTTTTAACAGGACACTGTGGCTACGACGAAGAAAGATGGACTACACATGGGTGTTGGTTAGTATGGCAACATTCTGGTTGTTGTGTTCTATCTCTTCAATCATGTTCAGGACGTTTGCCGGAAGCTCTCCACCTATAAGAACTGGCCATTTGGTTGATTGGGATGGACGCGTCTACGTGAAATCGAAGAACAAAACCGATTTCGCAAGAAAAGGTTTCTATCACTATCCCTTCCCGAGGAGTGACATGTGTTTCTTTTCACGTTTTTTGGAAGCAGAAGGAATGCCTAAACTTCATTCAGCGTTCGCTGATCCCGTATCTCACAACGTCGTCTTTATCGGCACGCGCTTTCTCGCAGACAACTGGACGCGCGAAACATTCGTCGCCCATTTTGAAAATGGTCAGCGAAGATTGTGTGATCCTATCGTGGAAGATTTTTTTAGTTTTGGATACATCTCACAGTTCAATATCGTTCTCACTTGCCCGCTTCCACAGTTTCTACACAAGCGTCTTAATTTTTCGCTGAACCTGCAGCGTATTTCGAATGTCAAGAAGTATCGCAGATACGCCTATGACAACCTGACAATTTGTCAATCTGGAGCATCGAAATTTCAACGGTATCTCCTATCAGCGTGCACCATGGTGAGAAACATGGATCACTACCTACCAGAATGGATTGCTTTCCATAGGTATGTGGGTGTGCAACACTTCTTCCTCTATGATAACGAGCCAGAGGAAACGAGTAAACTCCGGAAGACTGTTCGTCGGGAGATCGCGGAGGGCGTCGTAACAGTCATACCATGGACACACATTGCCCTTGGACAGAAGACGTATTTGGAAGTGCAGATTGCTCATGAAAACGACTGCCTATGGAGAAACAGGTACCGAACAAAATGGATGATTAAAATAGACGTGGATGAGTTTGTGCAACCAATGAATGCTAGCAAGCGAAAAATTACAGATTATTTGGAAGGTCCATATTTTGAGACGATGGGGGCTGCTAGATTGCAGAACTGGTTTTTCGGTCGCCATGATTTCGATAAGTCAGCGGGGGCTACCAATAATTCGATCATAGAAAGAAATACGTGGAGACCAAGCTATCCTTCACCGCAGAACTGTGGCCGGGACAAAAATATTATTCAACCAAAGTATGTCCATTATTTCAAAATTCACGCCATCAAAGTTGGCGGAGAAGCGGTATCTTTGAATCCACACGACGAGTTACGGTTAGTTCACTACAGACAAGACAATTCACGTGTCAGACATTTTGATCTTCCGCCTTTCACGACTCAGGATGTTAGCATGGTTGAACTTATAGTAAAAGCACGAAAGGTCTTTGGAAATCAAACTAAAGGTTAATTTTATGGAAAATACAATGGGGAGAAAACTTTTAAATATCCCCTTTATTGAAGATCATCATTCAATTATTATCAATATTGTTATCGTTAATATTATTATAATACTTATTACTTGTATTAGTGTTATAATTATCATCATCATCATGACCATTAATGTATTGCTTTGTCAATTAGAAGCTGACTGAAAGCAGTTGAGTGTGAGTCTAGCCTTGAAATGATGAGCCCATAATCTAAGTACGTACATGTACATTTTAAGAACTGAAGTGTTAAATCACCATTTAGAAGGGCCGAGGAGTGACCACCCTTTCAAAATGTCAGACTGATGCTTCTAACTAGATTCAACCTTTACAATATTGGATCCATCATGTTCAAAGTGTTATTCTACCATTTTGAAAAATTGGTCACTCCTCGGCCTTTTTAAATGGTGATTTAACATTTCAGTACTCCAATTCTCAGGACCAAATTTGAATGTCACCTGTGCGTATACTTCCAATGCCCATATTTGTGTATGGTGATTGTAGGCGATTTTCAGCAGAGATTAACTGGTTTGTTGTCAGCTTGTCTATTAAAAAAAATAATACACAATCATTCTCATAAACTACACAATAATTCTTTTTTGTGTGTAACTTATAGATTTACAATGCAGTCATATGACTAGAACTCAATTTCAGCTTAAAACGGGGACATGCCCCCGACCTTGTCAAAGCAAACACACTCTTTAACTACTTTCTTTGAAAAACGTATTTTTTTCCTGTCTGTTTTGACAAAATCATTTTAGATTAGGGGCCGGTCATTCTCGGGGGGGGGGGGGGCCTTAAGTAGGCTCACATATACATGTACAATATTCAGGTAAAGATTTATTAAACGCCCGCCAGGATAAATATGCAAAGAGCAGGGCTCAAATTAATTTTTTGTCCACGGGGGCTCTTCCAAAATAAAAAGCGCCCCCGTGAGCCTTCTCACGGGGGCTCTTTTAGTACAGACAGGGGCTCTTTTTTAATACAAATTTCCATTGAATTGGTGGTACCCATGAAACTCCTAAATTATTTGCTATTTCATCATTATCATTAATAGTCGGCATTATTTCTCTTACAACTTTACAAGTTATAACATGCAGCTAGTGGTCAGATCTCTTCCCTTTGTACGAAATATCTGGTCCAAGCCCGTATACATTCGCGTATGAGTATAAACTTGAAAAAACATATCAAAATACAAACTATCAAATAAAAATCAATGCAGATCATTAAAGTTAAGAAAAGTAACGACAAATTAAAAGACAGCTTTTAACATTGCCTTGTGATGTAGACAATTTTCACTTCGTGTTTGTGATTTGAAAACAAAACCTTAGGCCTTGATTTCTTTTCAGAAATTAAACCGATTATGACATTTCTATAGATGTTGACGATTTTTCTTTGAAAATGTTATATTTATAAGTTGACAGCGTAAAACGCAATGTGTAAGTTAGTATAGCTTCAGATTGGATTTTTTGTTTCGTTACACTCTCTGGTTAAATACATAAATCCATAAACTTATAAAGAAACAGAAAAGTTTCAGAAAAATAAACCAATCGTCACAATCACTTAACTTTATCTTACATAGACACTGTGTACGTATGTTATACAGAAGCAAGACCATGTTTAACTACTAGGTGCAAATTACTTCATGTCTTGTATTTTTTCGAACGAGCTGATTTTATTGCGTTGATACCACGCTTATCAATGTAGGCGATTTTGCTCTAAAAATATAAATCTAATCTTCATTTGCATACGCATTACTCAATCTGTATAGGAGATATGATCGTCGCAATGTAGTATAGTCAAATTGGAGTTTTCTTTGTTCGTTAGGACTAGTTCTCTTAAACATATACAAGTATTATATAATTTTATGAACACTCGTGAATGCCAGAGGGAAAAACCGTTGCAATCGACTGAACTTTAGCCTATTTTGTTCTATTTTTTTTTGTCGCGCCCATATCGCCTTTGTAGTTGATTAAAAGCTGAAATAAGGAAGTACTTGAGCTCGAAAATATATAACTTCACTGTTCTCACGCGGGGATGATCTCGAAATAGAAACTTGGCCACAAAAACACAACTAAACTATTCAGAATAAATTGCAGAAAGGACAAAAGACATGAGGACCTTGTCAATCTTATTACACAAGTGTAATTAACACTCCACTTCAGAAAAGTAGAGACCTAGACCAGACACTCGTGAATGCCAGAGGGAAAAACCCTTGCAATCGACTGAACTTTAGCCTATTTTGTTCTATTTTTTTTTGTCGCGCCCATATCGCCTTTGTAGTTGATTAAAAGCTGAAATAAGGAAGTACTTGAGCTCGAAAATATATAACTTCACTGTTCTCACGCGGGGGTGATCTCGAAATAGAAACTTGGCCACAAAAACACAACTAAACTATTCAGAATAAATTGCAGAAAGGACAAAAGACATGAGGACCTTGTCAATCTTATTACACAAGTGTAATTAACACTCCTCTTCAGAAAAGTAGAGACCTTGACCAGACACTCGTGAATGCCAGAGGGAAAAACCCTTGCAATCGACTGAACTTTAGCCTATTTTGTTCTATTTTTTTTTGTCGCGCCCATATCGCCTTTGTAGTTGATTAAAAGCTGAAATAAGGAAGTACTTGAGCTCGAAAATATATAACTTCACTGTTCTCACGCGGGGGTGATCTCGAAATAGAAACTTGGCCACAAAACACAACTAAACTATTCAGAATAAATTGCAGAAAGGACAAAAGACATGAAGACCTTGTCAATCTTATTACACAAGTGTAATTAACACTCCTCTTCAGAAAAGTAGAGACCTAGACCAGACCCCCCCCCCTGATTAATGCTTCGCTTGAAGAAATAGAATTTCGCGGAAGAAGAAAAAAATGGTTTTAATGGTAATGGTCGACATACAAACTCAGAGCTCATCCTGTTCTCTATTTAATTATGAATCGAAAGAGAAAATTAGCGCCACCCTCGTAGTTAGTTTCGAAAGATGGATGATGTATATACTGGACAGTTATCTTATTCTTATTTTCTCCTCGTTGCACGTGCGTGCTTTTCTTCTCAGTGATTGATTTAGTTTCTTTTCTTTTTTAATGAAGTACATTTAATTACATCTATTTGTTATGTGTGAACTAGCTTCCTCGTTGCTTTTTCATTAGTCTTCACTGTGATGCACGTACATACGTGTGAGATTATATACAACAACGTTATCTTGCAGCTATATTGCTCGTTCAGGCAATCATTGTACAAGACAAACAAATGTATGTTTTATCACCTTGTGCCAATTGATATCTAGACAAAATATTTGATACCTACAAGACTGTGACACCATTAACTATAACCTTGTATTGATCACGCAACTTTTCGTGACTCTTTTTTCCATACCCCCCTTCTCTCTCTCTCTCTCTCTCTCCCTCTCTCTCTCTATCTCTCTCTTTCTCTCTCTCACTCTCTCTCTCTCTCTCTCTCTCTCTCTCTATCTCCCTCTCTCATTATTTACTTATTAATAATACCTATTATTTTAAGCTAACAAATAGCATGCCCCACCTCGCACAGGTGATGTAAAGTCCAAGTAATCTTGTCCCATACAATGTTACCGACCATGCACATCAACGTTTCTGTTTATTTGATGACTGTATGAAGTTTACAGCCCTAAACATGATCGCAAAGGACTTTCGAGAATTCAACTCAAGGGCAAATTCAATACCTTATTGTAAATTCCCTAGAAATCATGTTCAGATTACGTAATACATCATTGTTATGCTCGAAAATGTCAATGGGTGAGGGCTAGGCCATTGGAATTGCCTTTTTCGAAAGTCTTTGCTATTTTGTTCCCAAAAGCGTTTGGGTCAGACAAAACATCAAATAAAACTATATTTTTAAGTCGATTGTGTTCATACTTCCATAACACATTTCAAGAATATTAATTGGAACCATATTTGGGCCATAAACTAGGACTTCCAAATTAGCATGTACCCGTGTGAGAGATGGAATCTAGCAAATAGCATGTAATCGGTCTTATATAGGGAAAGGGATCTTTTTGTAAACAACAAAATGTACCTTTAATTATTTCACTCTGTCTTATCATTATTATCTTACGTAAATATAGATGTACTTACGAAAGATTGGGAAAGGGGAAAGGGAGAGAGAAGAGAGAAGAAATACAAGTAGGAAGAGAACAAACTACATATTTCCATGGTAATAACTTATAATTTACCATGATTAATCTATAACATTACATATATATCCATTCATATTATTTTTTCAAGTCATGTCGTTTAGTGGAAGCACCCGTAGACATGTCGATTGTACCTTACTATATCTAATTGTGACTACATATTATTTATTGGGATTTAAATATGAATCTGAAAGTGTATTCCTCGAATAACCTTATCTGGATTAACATGACTTTGACATAATATAGTTGTCCTCGTGGTGCACTAAAAGTATTGCACGTAAACAGATTTCGACCTTCCCCTCTTTCCATATTTTTTTTTCTCGCTTCCGGAAACGCATTTTTTTTGCTTGATCAAAACACAGAGATATCAATTTATGGAACCACTGTGTATAGACTGTAAATGCTAAACATAGTTATTTACTGATGATTCTGCAAACTGTATTTAATAACATAAAATTAATGAACAATCTCAGATTTACATGTGTTTGCACTGCAAATTCGTCGTGTAACGACATTGGGTGGTTCACTCCTTGAACACGGGTTGTGTTAAGTCGTGTAATAAAACATTACACAACTTTACACAACGAATTTGCAGTGTAAAGTTGTGTAATTTTTATTTACACAACTTAACACAACCCCTGTGTAAGGAGTGAACCACTCAATGTTGTGTAAAGTCGTTACACAACGAATTCGCAGTGTATGATTTCTGTCTACATGTTACTATACAGTGCGTCCCAGAAAAAACGAAACCGAGAATTATAGATGTTTTATCATAACTTAATCACATTTATAATTAATAAATGACATATATTCGGAAAGCTTAGATCCTCTTCTTTCATTTGATGCAAGTCATATGATGCATATGTCACGCATGAGTGATTAAAATCAATTTGAAGAGAGGAAACCGAAAAGGTATTTGGCGGGCGGTATCTGAATTTCAAAGAGAAAATCACATTTCTAGAAAGTTGGGTTTTTGCCCTTTTATAATTATGACACCTCAATCAGGAAAAATGAGTAAGGAACGACAAAGTTTTGTTTGTTTGAAGTAGCCCTTATGCTAGGAGTCCACTGGGCCAGCGCCAGTTGGTGCCAGTTTGCGCCAATGCAATTTACTGTGGCGCCTAGTGTCGCCAATAAGACGCCTAGTGGCGTGTAGTGGCTCAAACTGCCTCCCAACTGGCTCGTGGTGGCCCGTAACGGCACCAAAATTGAATGTGGCGGCAAGAAAATTTCAAAATGTTTGAAATTTTCGTCGCGCCACTTGCATCGAGCAATCAGCGCCAAGTGTCCGCCATGTGGCACCAAATGGCGCGAACATATCGCCCTTTGGCGCAAACAATCCGCCTATTGGAATCCACTGGAATGTAATGGCGCGCGCCAAGTTGCGCCAATAAGATTTCGCGCCACATGGCCAAATAG